TACTAGTCAGCCCAACATACTATTGAATCAAGGGGGAAAATATCAAGTTGCAAAACAGGGGTTAGACTATCAGAGACCCCCAAATAAGAATGAAGAGCAGCCCATTTAGGCCTTGGGTATTAAAAAGAGTTATAGCTTTGAATAATGGTGGATTTTTCTGAGTGACATATGCATTGAGGAAACATGGTATTATCTTTATGTCTCTGCAGTAAATTACTTGACTAAATTTAGATAATAATGGTTTAGGGCCAATATAAAATGCTTTTACATATATTTAAGAATGATTGAGATAGATGTTCTATCTTACCTAAAAATAGATAAAACAGCACAGAAGTGTTTTAAGTACAGCATAAAGTATCTTTTCTACACTGGATCAATTTGAGAATAAGTTCAAGAACAGAGAGTCTCACCCTCTAAGACTTTACTAAGTATTCTCTACAAAAAAAAAAAAAAAAAAATCTCCTAAGGAATCTCCAAAACACTATAAAATACTTTTTTCTCCCAAGTCATTAGGTCCATTTCAAACATTGACAATTGTCTCAAAAATATCTTTTGTAATAATATCATCCCCAAGATAGAAACACCATCTTCTGAGCTGACCTGTTCTGACGGGGCACACCTGCAGACACTTGCCTGTGGTGTTACTGAGATGAGTCAGCCCTGCTGCTGTGCCCAACCCTTCCCCAGCCCCTGTGATTTGCATGCTCCCAGAGCACAGCCCACTGTCCTGAAGACTTATTCATAGGCTGCTCAAACCTTGTGCAGGAGTCAGTCCCAGTCAGGACACAGCACAGACATGAGGGCGCCCATTCAGCTCCTGGGGCTCCTGCTGCTCTGGCTCCCAGGTAAGGAGAAAGAACACCAGGAATTTACACAACCAGTGTGGTCAGTGCTGCCTCGCTCTTCAGGGAAGTCCTCTTGTAACATGGTTAATTATGTGGATATTTGTCTTTGTATTTCCAATCTCAGGTGTCACATGTGACATCCAGATGACACAGTCTCCAGAATCCCTGTCTGCATCTGTAGGAGACTCAGTCGCCATCGCTTGCCAGGCCAGTCAGAGCATTGGCAGTTCATTAAGCTGGTATCAGCAGAAACCAGGAAAAGCTCCTAAGCTTCTAATCTATGCAGCATCAAGTTTGTACACTGGGGTCTCCTCGAGGTTCAGTGGCAGTAGATCTGGGACAGAATTCACTCTCACTATCAGCAGCCTGGAGGCTGAAGATATTGCAACTTACTATTGTCAACAGTATAATAATAACCCTCCCACAGTGTTACAAGTCATAACATAAACCCCACAGGGTAGCAGATGTGAGAGGCTGCCCCATCTGCTAATTCTGGTTCCTTCATCTGCTGAGAGCATTTCTGAGAAGCAGGCACACTTTGAAGGTCACTTTTAGGTTGTGATAGAAGGGACCAGGAAGGCTCTTCTGTAGCCTAATTCTCTTTCTCCTCCTCTGCTCCACACCACACACTTGAAAATGTCTCTCTTGATTTCATTAAGGACAGAGTTTATACACAGATAAGTCTGAGTTACAGCAGCAGTTGGGATTCAAACAGCAGTAGAGAAGTCACTCTGGATACTCCAAGCAAGAATTTTTTAAATAGAGGGAATTAGAGTCTACACCACAATCTTACAGAGCACGAGGTGTGCAAGTAAGGAAAGCTGATCCTAGACACAGGGCAAACTCTAGTGCTCCCCCAGAAGCCACAGCGCACCTGCCACTGAAGGTGTCGGCTCCTCAGTCCTGTCTGGGGAGCCCAGGCATGGGGGTGCTGATGCTCTCAACTGCCTGCAGAACCTCACCACGTGACTCTCCAATCCTCCCCTCTGTCCCTGTGTCTGGCTAAAGGTGCTGATGGAAAGAACTGGGTTCTCCTCTTTTGATTCTCTAATCTCATGGAGCTCACCTTATTGAGCAACTCTACAGAAAACCAAAGAAGGGAAAGTGGTTTTGAGAAATGTGCTTCTAGAAATTATGCTGATATTGGGGAATCAATAGCTGACTTCTCAATATGGTCACTATCTCTTCAAATCTTAGAATTTTTTTTTAGTTAGCGATTGAACTAAAATACACTCAGATGTGCTTCTTAGTATTATCAGCAAGTATGGGATCATAGCAACAAAACTTACTTAAATCCTAAAGGACACAGAACAATGAGGAACTTGCATGAAATACATAAAAATTGTTTGAAAAACAAATAAAAAGTCTATCCTGGCTAATAAGAAAACACAAACAAAATATAAAATGTGCATGTGATGTTATTTTTCTTTTACATAGAAAAGCCTGCTACTCAAACTCTGTCCTGAAGTCAGCAACATCATCAAGATCACTGTGAGCTTGTTACATGTCAACACAGCAGACCCAGCTAAGACCTATTGAAGGAGAATTTGCATTGGAACAGGATAGCAGGCCTTTTATCAAAGGAGTAA